AATGGCGCGATCTCGGCTCACCGCAACCTCCGCCTCCTGGGTTCAGGCAATTCTCCTGCCTCAGCCTCCTGAGTAGCTGGGACTACAGGCAAGCGCCACCATGTCCAGCTAATTTTTTGTAGTTTTAGTAGAGACGGGGTTTCACCATGTTGACCAGGATGGTCTTGATCTCTTGACCTTGTGATCCACCCGCCTCGGCCTCCCAAAGTGCTCGGATTACAGGCTTGAGCCACCGCGCCCGGCCGAGGCTTTCCTTTCTGTAGGTACTGCGTGCATGCTTATTTTTTTAAATCTATCAGAAAAAAATGTATTGTTTTATGTCAGAAGCATTTCTGAACTCTACCTATCTTGCTCAGTACTGTATCTCCTACAGCCTAAAACAGAGAAGGCCTACCACATAACAGGCCATAGACAAGCACTTGTCAAATGAAAATGAATTGAGTTTGTTTTATGCATTCACTGGACAAATAGAAGTTAAAAAAATTATTATTCCAAAAATCTAAAAGAATTCAAATGCTTTACAATACATAAATTTACGAAGAAGTAAAATTAGCCTCTGCGCCAAGATGTTTTTTGTGGATGATGTTATCACTTCATAGCTAATCCTTCCCCATGGCCTCCCAGTAATGACTGCACGAGCGCATCACACCAAAGACACATGTGTCATCAATTTATCAGAGCTGTACCAATTCTCTCTAAGCCACTGCCCTGGCAGGAGGGCCTCCTTTTCTCCTTCCCAACTATAGCTTCCAATTTGATGTAGATGTAGCGAGATATACCCACTCTTAGGAATGCTCAGACTATCTAACAGGGCATCACTCACAGACAATGCATTCCTTTCAAATCCTGTGTGAATTCACGCCTCTCCACCACAGGCAAGATCGAGCACCCAGCTCAGCCTGTCTCATCAAATATTTATCCATCCCCTGTTGCGGTTGCCCATGCATAGTGGGCTCTGCTCTCTGGAGGCACCACGCAATGAGAGACAGTTACTTCTCTTACCCAAGAAGGAACTGTCTTGTATCAGCCAAACTTCTATCATTTTTTCCATCTCCCTTTCCCCTCTGGGAAACCCTCAGCAAGCAAAAAAGATACAGTGGGCTCAATCCCAAGTAAAAGATGATCATCAAACGACAATTAGCTTTTCTACCTTCTAGGAACAACTGCTCTTAAAACAACCTAGTGTTTTGGAAAATGCAGCTCTGAGTGGCACCTTTCGAAGCAATAAAACATACGGCTACATTTAAGAGCGAACAAAGAGGATTAAATACATATTTGTATTCTCAATTAAAAAACTACGGTTCTATCATCTTAATTACGCCACGAGACGTAAAGAAACAAGTTTGCTATCATGCCACTTTTCGTTATACTTCGAGAATGGAATGCAATATCGTTGGTCTACGAGAGAAATAAAATGCCTGTATCAGAAGTAACAGCCCAAACCTGCTGACTAAAAATATTAACTGTGAACTAAACACCACAGTGCAGATGTCCGACATGGAAATCTGGACAGAAACACATTTTAGCTTAGGTTCTCCAGCGTGTAAGTCGGGACTCCAACACGTTTCAGCGTCCACAGCCCAATGTGACACCTTCCCTCGCACCCATCCACAGCGCAGTAATTTTCCTTCTCCCCGTGTGAATACATCAAAAGTCACCTCGGGCCCCCAGCTGCCCCAGATTGTTCCCGATCGCTGCAGACGCCCCGCACCCGCAGGAACTTCCCCGCCGGGCCGCCCGCGGAGCAGAGCATCCCGCTCGGACACTGCGCCCTCGGCAGCAGACGCAGGACGGTCCAGGGCGCAGCCTCGTCCCCAACGCAGTCTCCACTCCCGGGGCAGAGCGTGCCCTCCCCACAGGGCAGCAGCCTCCCCTGCCTGGCCCCAGCCTCGTCTCGGGCGCAGCCTGCTGTCCCCTGGCGCAGCGTTCCCCAAGGGACACAGCCTCCCGGCCCCGGGCGCAGCCTTATTCCCCGGGCAGCCTCCCGGCCCCCGGCGCAGCCTCGGATCTCCGGGGCACAGCGTCCTCTCCCCAAAACGCAGCCTGGGTCGCCAGGGCGCAGCCTTGTCCCGGCGCATCTGCCCTCCCCGCGGCGCGCTGCATCCCACGCGGACTCGGTGCCGCGGGAGGGGACGCGGGGCCGCCCGGGACGCAGCCTCCTCCCGGGGCCGAACGCCCGAGCAGATGGGCGCCCCGGGAGGGTGAATGCCAGGCGGTGCCGGGGCAGCCTCGCCTCCCCGCGGGCACCCTCCGCTCCCGGGACGGCCCGCAGCCTGGGCCCAGCCGCCAGCCCCTGCCCGGCGCTTACATAAACGCCGCCGCTGCGGGGTCCGGAGCCTCCGCGCCCGCCCGAGCCGCCGCGGCCCCGCGCCGCCCTCACCTCAGCCGCAGCCGCGCCGCGCCGCGCCTGGTCCTCCACACGCGCGCCCTCCGGCCGCAGTCCTGGGCTGGGCGGCTCTCCGCCTCGTAGGCTGTGCGCTGCGGCGCGGCGCGGCTCTAGCCTCGCGCGGCCCGGAGCCCCGGCCACCGACCTGGCCGCTCGGCAGCAGCCGCCGCCGCCGCCGCCGCCGCCGCCAGGGCCGCCTCAGCGCCTCAGCCCAGCCGCTGGCGGCTCCGCCCCCTCCCCGCCCCCGCCCGCCGGGCGCGCGCGCGCCGAGGGGTGGGGCCGGCGCCGCGACGCCGGACGTGCGCGCGCGCGCGATCCGGCTGGTCGCGGTTAGCCTGGGCTGTGGCGTCTTCCTCACGACCACCTGCAGCCGGCGAGCTTGGGGCCGGGACCCTGCCCGCCTTCGAGTCCTCCTCTGGGTGCGCGGCTGCTGCGTTTTGGGGACGGGGTCTCACTGTCGCCCAGGCTGGAGCGCGGTGTCCGGATCTCGGCTCCCTGCAGCCTCGACCCCCCGAGCTCACGCGATCCTGCCGCCTCAGCCTCTTTGGTAGCTGGGACCGCAGGCGCCCCGCGCCCGGCTGCTGGCGTTTGCGTTTTGTGGAGGTGGCGTCTTGGTGCTGCCCAGGCTCCCGGCTCCGGGGCCCACGCGCTCCTCCCCGCAGCTAGCGCCGCCCCTGCTTCCCCAGCTCCCTGAGTTGTCTGGGACGCGCGGGGCCCGCCCCGCGTTGGGTCAGAGCTGGCGGCCGGCGGGGGTCGCGGCCGCCCCTCTTCCCGCCCCTCGTCCTCACCGTAGACTCGGGGAGAACCGGGTCGCGGGCCAGGACCCCGGAGACCGTCCCCTCCGTCTCCCGTTTAGTCCTCACTGACACTAGCAGCAGCTCCCAATTACCAGCGTCTGGGGGTTGGTGGTTTTGTTTGCTTGATTTTTTTTTTAGGTTGATAGTAAAAGCATTTTAAAGTTT